CAAGGACACTCAGTGTCACTGATGCAAAGCAGCTTCATACCTGCAGCTTTTAGTCATAGCTCCTGCAATTTCAGTGCATGTGCTACCTGCAAGCTGTTACATTTGCAGTTTTTAGCTAAACTTAGCAACATTTGTTTATACTAAAAACTATGACAAAAAAATGTCACTGATGACAACAAACAATTATGTTTGAAAATGTCCTGTGGACAGATGAAACAAAGGTAGATTTGTTTGGGAAGAACACACGGTACTACATATGGCCGTAAAAGAGAACTGCATACCAACATGAAAACTTCATCCCAACAGTGAAGTACGGTGGATGGAGCATCATGATGTGGGGCGGCTTTGCTGCCTCTGGATCTGGACTGCTTACTATTGTGGAGGGGAAAATGAATTCCCAATATTAACATGGTATCCTACAAGATAATGTCAGTGTGGCTGTCTGTAAGCTGAAGCTCAGAACAAGGTGGGTGATGCAGCAGGACAACAACTCTAAACATTGAAGTAAATTTACCCCCCCCAGGATCTGTGAAAAGGCTGTGCGTGGCCTCTTTAAAAGACAAAAGATCAGAAAGGCACCAGGCCCAGATGGTGTGACCCCTTCCTGCTTGAAAGTGTGAGCTGATCAGCTGGCCCCCCATCTTCACACTCATCTTCAACAGGTCACTGGAGCTGTGTGAAGTCCCCTCCTGCTTTAAACGCTCCACCATCATCCCAGTCCCCAAGACAAACCTCCATCATTGGACTGAATGACTACAGACCTGTCGCCCTGACATCTGTAGTTATGAAGTCCTTTGAAAGACTGGTGTTGGCCCACCTGAAGGACACCGTAGACCCCCTGCTAGACCCCCTGCAGTTCGTCTACTGGGCAAACAGGTCAGTGGACGATGCAATTAACATGGCACTGCATTACATCCTGCAACACCTCAACTCCCCAGAGACCTATGCACGGGCCCTCTTTGTGGACTTCAGCTCAGCATTCAGCACCATCATCCTGGACAATAAGCACAGGCACCCCCCAGGGATGTATGCTCTCCCCTCTGCTGTTTTCACTTTACACCAACAACTGCATCTCGAAGGACTCCTCTGTTAAGCTCCTTAAGTTTGCTGATGATACAACGGTCACTGGTCTCATCCGAGACGGCAAAGATTCAGCCTACAGACGGGAGGTTGAGCAGCTGGTCCTGTGGTGTAGCCGCAACAACCTGGAGCTGAACATGCTCAAAACAGTGGAGATGCCAGTGGACTTCAGGAAGTCCCCTCCCACCTTACCCCCCTTTGTCATACTTGGCAGCACTGTATCAGCAGTAAAGTCCTACACGTTCCTGGGCTCCACTATCTCCCAGGACCTGAAATGAACGTCCAACATCAGGACCATCACCATGAAGGCACAGCGGAGGATGTACTTCCTGCGCCAGCTCAGGAAGTTCGAACTGCCCCAGGAGCTGCTGATACAGTTCTACAGAGGAATCATTGAGTCTGTTCTCTGCACCTCCATCACTGTCTGGTTTAGCTCAGCAACCAAACAGGACAAGTACAGACTTCAGCGGACAGTGAGGACTGCAGAAAAGATCACTGGTGTGAGCCTGCCCTCCATGGAGGACCTGTACACCTCATGGGTCAAAAGGAGGGTGGAGAGGATCTCTGTGGACCCCTCACACCCAGGACATAATCTGTTCGAACTCCTCCCCTCTGGATGGCGTTACAGGTGAGTGTGCACCAAAACAAAGTTTTGTCTGAAAGTTGTGCAGGTCTAATCCACAGCTACAGGAAGCGCTTGCTTGAGGTTATTGCCGCCAGAAGTGGTTTTAAACAAATTATTAAAACACTGTTGCCATTACTTTGTCCACCATCAGTTTATATGTTAAACAATGTGTTCAATAATGAAAGATCATTACTGTTTGTTGTTTTATCAGCTTAGAAATATTGCTTCTTCATATTTGGGTCTTTGGTGAACATCAGATAACATTTCATGAGCAATTTATGCAAAAAAAAAAAAGAATAATAGTAAATTTCAGCATATCCTATTCAACTTCTCTTTTTACTGATACTTCAGCTGACAGCAACTTAACTTCAAGCTGAACTTTGTATTGACAGCTGTTTTGCAGAGGAGCAGCCCAGACCTCATTCTCAGCTGTAAACAGAGCGGCGATTTTCCTTAAGAGGTTTTTCTACCCTGCTCATGTTTACAACCATTTGTTTCCACCCAAGCACAACTAGTCAAGCAACAAATTAGCAGTGACTGGTGGAACAAGATTCTCAGATGGCTGTCATGAAAGTTTGTGCAGTGAAGTCTGACATCCAATTAGAAGCTTCCGTCTGTAATGCCACTCAATGAGAAGAGAAAATGCTGCCATATGTCCATTAAATGCTGCAAAAATAACAACGCTTATTGAATTACTGAGATTTCTTTGAATGGAGTGTAAATGATCCCTTTCATGCACTCTGTCAGGTATCTGAAACTCATTTCTAACAAGCCCATATTTGCAATTGACCCAGTGTGCTGTAACTTTAATTTGGTGGCATCATGCTTAACAATTTCCTTCCTTCCTATTTTCAGTTTGCATCATGCAGCATATAGCATAGTTTCTAAACCATATTAACTCCTGCACAGTAATAGGCATCTTCTTTTTTTTTTTTTGAAAGAAACAGACTTCACCATTGCCTTGCAGATTTGTTTATGGTTAATTCAATAATGCCGCTTTAATGAAAACTCTCTGAACACACTTGGTGTCTTATGCGGTTCCCAGGTTGCAGGTTTTGATTTTCTGCTCTTATAGAGTGAGACACTGAGATTAAAGGTCTTCATGGGTTCCAGTTTGCCCGAAATCCCAAAATGTGTTTTTTTTTTTTTCCACCTATGTCTCTAATGACAAACTCTTTTCTTCTCTTCTCTGCACAATCATAAATGGTTGTTGTTGTATGTTTGGTTGTGCAAATAAACAAATTCACTTCCTTGTTTGAGAAAACACAAAACCTTTTTCATGGATGACTGTTCATAAAAGCAACTTTCTCTGAACTACAGCTATTGTGGAAAATTTGTGATCTACAGTAAATGTCCACAAATCATCTGTCCTCTGATATTTGGTGAAGATCAGATCGCATTCCGTGACCAATTTATGCAGACAATCAGTGCAAACAGCGCCATTACTACTGTCAAGTGGAGGAAGAACAGGGTCAGCGTGAGCACACTTAACACACTGTTTTCTAAACACATCCAGCTTATTTCACTGCCCTCTTTTATGGCCAGGCACATCCAGTATATGCACACACATCCAGATTACCTCCCTTTGTTTGAGAACCACTCCTCCATGTTTCATCAGTGGCATCTTTCCTATCAAACCCACTGACATTTAAAGGGAAAAGTGACTGTTCTAACTACTGTATAATAAAGAGTGAGTCACCAAATGTATAATGAGTCCCTCACAACACTGTCTGTTCCACCTGATCAGCAGGCTCCTCCTTAACAGGAAGGCTGAGGGTGTGCGACTACACAGGAAGCTGAATTAATTTATGTGACAGCGTCCTGCTCCTGTCTGAGAAAAGCATGATTAGGAAATGGCAATGGCAGTGCTGCAAAGTAACGCATATATTCTGATGAGCAGCAACAACAACAGTTCAAACTGCTCCAGCAGTGACATTTTTAGTTTATTCATGACAACATGAGAATAAAGTAAGCAAACATAGCAGACAGCTGTTAGTGTGTTTATAATGTTAGAATCATTTTGGTTCCACCTACAATTCTAACACCGATTACAGATTTTCACTATAATGCACTTCACCCTTAAAATAACTTTGACAAGGTTTAAATATTTGCATTTGCTTCAGTTGCTAAGTTACAAGATACTGAGAGGCGATAAAGGAGAGCTGACGTCCAGCAATTATCATATAAAAACCCAAACAAGACACGAAGCAAGAAATAAATACAGGCATTGTTCAAAACATTCACATTTACAGTATTCTTCTTGGAATAGTTGCACACAAAATACAGCACATCAAAAACTGTAACTTCATTACTTTTCATTTTGACAAATCAATTCACTCAGGTTAAACTAATGAAGATGAATGGATGGGAAAAAAAAATCTGATAACCAGTGCCTGACTGCACAAACCTACAAAACAGATAAAATATAAGCAAACAATTCTCTGTCCAAGATAAACATTTTCATAGACCTTCAAAAAATCACTGCAGAACAATAACAACATAAAAAACAATTCCTCCTCTGTTATGACAGATGGCCCAAAAAAAGCAGCTGGTGCAGACAGAATTTAACTATGTCAACGCTAACTACAGCAATTTGTTATTTTCAGAATCAAATCATCATTATATTAGATTTATTTAAATCATACAAAACAAAGGAACAAAGCATTTATTCAGGCACCACAAATAACTTCAAGTGAAATAATTGATTACAAACACACAAAAGATGGAGAAACTTAAACTGAATGATAAAAGGTAACAACCACCCAGATTTACTGTACTGTATCTCCATCAGGAAACACATTCACCTGCTCTCTTGGATCTGTGATTTGGTCAAGGTCACGGTGCAAGATATGTCAGAAACTGAGCACATTCGGTGAAAACCAGGAGAATGCTATAAACAGCCACATGGTCAAACCACACGTCACATTATACTGGTGGATCCTGTATTTCTGGTAGTTTATTTGGAAAACAAACCCAGGATCTGTTAGCCATGGTTACTGACGTGGTGTAAAATGTTTTGGTTGCAGACAATTTGCAGAAAAACTTTGTAAGCGGCATGCTTGTTAAATGAAGACGTGCATGCGGTTCATGGACAGATGATGAGACACTGGGCTCCTAGGCGGGTACATAAAGAACCCCCACCCTCCTACAGAGAAACAAAACTACCAGACTGAAACAGAGTTTTCTCTCTTTATAGTCATTTTGCATTGCTGAGGTTGTTTTGTCTCTTTGTGGTCATTTTGTATCTTGGTGTAACAATATTCCATCCCTATTTAGCCACTTGTTTTGCAACTTGTTTTTTTTTTTTTTTTGGTAATTTCAATCCTTTGTGGTTATTTTTGCCTCTGTTTTACTTGCTTGTACTCATTTTGCATCTGTTTGCTGTTGACTGACCTTCCAACAAGAAATATTCATTTCATACGGAGGCTATGGCGCAGGAGCCCCCCGATCCCTCGGCCCACTGGGCCTGTGTCCGGGAGGCTCATTCAGTAATCCACCCATGCATGCATACATCTATGCATAGAGAAAACTGCAGCATGCTCAAGTGTGAAACATTTGTATTAATATTCATCAGTGTCATGAGGTGCATTCAACAAGTGGCAGTTTGTGTTTTTAAACTTACAGTATAAAGGCTGTGGGTTAACAGAACTTTAAAATGCTGGATACAGTAGCTCTACTACCGTATGATCCGTAGAGCTCATTGAACACACCTTATACTCTACCATAAAGATGAAGACATTCGAAGCTCAGCTCCAGTGGGAGAGTTCCTCTGTTGGAGCAGCCATTTACTCTGCGCATCAATCTATCTCTTGGGTCTGTCAATGTCATCGATGGCTGCCAGAAGCTTCTGACGAGCCTTCTTGTTTATATGTGAACCCAGGCAAACGTTCACTAAGTTGGCTAGCTGCTTCATGGAGTACTCCTGTAAAAAAGTGTAAACAGCTTGTCAGAAACTGCCACTCAAGCTTGATACAAAAAATAATTCAACCACATATTTAAGTCTCACCCTGTGATTTTTTATAAACTGCTCCATGTCGTTCTCTGTCAGGTAATAAGCTTTGATGTAGACCTCAACAAACTCTTTATCAGGGATGGGTCGCAGGTCGGTCAGCTTCTCCAGCTTTATCAGGAACTGTTGGAAGTCGAGCTGCATCAGCGCGCGGCCCTCATTGCTGCATTTTTTCACATTAGCATAGCTACAGTGGATAAAACAGCAGAAGGGAAAAGAGGAAATTAGCATTGCCTGAAGTACTGAGGTAGAGTACAGACCACAAGTGGAAGGCAAATACTGTGTTATTTTTAAGTTTTGATCCATGGAAGTCATCACAGATGTTGGTGTTATGTTAGGGAACTGAAATGCACAACAATATTCAATTTTATAATGTGATGTTAAGTCAATTTCAGTTATTCCTTCAAGAAATGATCCTTTATTACAGGCAAACCTGTCTGCAAATTGAAAGGCATGCTGCAGTGGTTTTAAATTCTCGTCTTCACTATTTCAGTATTTCCCAGTGATCAGTATCCTTTGAGTCTTAAGGGCATAAATGTAGAGTTTAAAAATTCTTAATGGCAATGCCAAGTAAAGAGTCATGTAAGTGTACTTTATATTTTAGTAAGTGTACTTTTTTTATTGAAAAATACTCACAGTACAACAATGGAAATAAGTTATCAAATAAGTTTCAGGGTTATATGTAACTGTCATTTGTGTTACAAGCTATTTATGGTGTATACTTTTAAAGTTACATTTCTTTTCTTATTCAATGTATTTTATAATATACTATATAAACGCTGTCTGCATAATGTGTACTTTTTGCTGAAACATTTGTACTTGTATTTGAAAGTACTGTAATGAGTCAAATGTGGGACTTTTACTTGCACAGGAGTTATTTGTTTAGTAGGGAATCTAAATATTTCTTCCACATCTGGTTTTATGAATTTTAGGGCAGATGTGTGGTTCATGACTAAAATCAAATGAAGTCAAAATCAAATTCAACGTTAAAAAGTGTTCAGTATATTTATAACTGAAGTGTTTTGTACCAGATGCTGATTACCCATTTTAAGACATTAACTGCGTAGTTTATGTAATATGAGGGCATGCATGCGTCCTCATCTGTGTATGAATATTTCCTTTACAGAAAATTAACTGTGTCAGGTTGCTCCACACAGCTCTCTCCCTTTTCTCTTTTGCTTGTCAGGCCTGACAGAGTTTGGTGATGAGTGTTTAGGCTATGGCTCAGAATGCTAACAGAGCCGTCTCTGCAAGTCTCTTAAGGGAGACGAGCACTGAACAGAGAAATTGAATAACAGGCTGAGGGAGGTGGAATATAAACAAATAAATACGGCCACTCTGTCCTGGTGTGCAGGAGGGGTGGACAATGTGCACGTGTGCGTGAGTGGGCAGAGAGCAGACGTCTGCAAAAACAGTGTAAATTTGATAAGCACCGCAGTCATAATGGGAAATTTGAACATTGGAACGAGTTCAAACGTTCTCCTACACAATAGGAAGAAAGTGCTCAGAAAACATGTAGGGTAGTAAACAGGTTACTTTTCTCACCAAGCCTTCCACCTTTGCTTAATGTCCAGTGTTCTCTCAACTTATTTAAACACTTGGAAAGCCTCTAACCTGTACAAATGATCAGCCCAGAGTGACTCTGGCTTCAACATCAGATTCTTGCTCCCAGTAAAATGTGTGAAACATCATGATATTTGTCGGCTGTTAGCTTCTCACTTTGTCACCATCCAGCCAGAGTGACTCAGTGTTACTGTGCACCTGTCCGTCTGATCACATGGGTTTATTACACCTTCAAACTAAAAGCCTACTCCATGCATAAATGAAACAGCGTCTCTGGGTAAAGAGGTAGTGGGGATGCAGGTGCTGAGAAAACACATACACACACAGATGATCTGTCACCTTTCACAACCCCTACCTCTCACTTATAAGAGAGAAAGTGGTAAAATGCATTGTATGGGTCATATCAAGGGCTTTTCACATTTTGTGTGAGTGGCCTGCACTATGTATTTCCCTGATGGTCTTTTGGTGGACTCGAGAGGGCTGCCAGCATGAGGAGGAGGGCAGGAATTTAGAGTGGTTTTCTTGGGTGATAACTCTGGCAATGGTCTTCAGGTTTCTTTTGTACTTGGGGGAGGGGGTCTTTTTAAATTTATGATGTGCAGATGTTCAAACTGGAGACACTCTGTAAGGTTTTCTTTAAAGACAGGATGAATGAGGCCTCAAATCACTCTGATGTAATAACTTGTGTTGTTTGGCATATTTATTTGACACAAGCTTAGGGGCACATTTATGACTATAGCCTGAGAATAAAGAAATGAAGACAAAACACTTAAATTACCAAAACCCCAATGGCTTTAAGAACTGAAACCATCATTCTACAGGTCTGTCCTGTGTTGAGCTCAGTTACATTACTGCTTTCAACAACTCATAATGCTACAACTGGGACGGAGCAAGGTTTATGTCTTGTGCACATTTCTGCCCTCCTTTCAGTGCAGGACCAGCAAAAACATTTAATGCACAAAAATGACCACTAACTGAGGCTTTTACTAGACTGACAAACTATCAGTAATATCAAATGCTAGCTTGTTTAAACTATTCTAAATAATTTTATGAAAAAATGCTCACAAAATAACAATTTTATTTGGACAGGATAACAATAAAAGTGCACATTTGACCTCTTAAATGTGTCAGACAACATGTTTTTTTTTTAGATGCTTTATAAAAAAGATGGGTGCTACTTGTGTGGGAAGGCCTACACCAAACGGCAAACTGCAGTCAGGCTCTTGGGTCTCAAGTGCTCTTAGCAGGAATAAATAGTAATCAATAAAGTGCACAGAAAAGGCCATCATGCTCAGGTGAAGTTAAAAGGCCTGCAATCAGTTTTGTCTCAACTTCCTTTGCCCCTAAATCCTACAAAATTATTTATTTATTTTTATATAATGTGGTTTGCTTGTTATTGGGCAGTAAAAGTTTTAAACAAACCAAATGTAAAAGTGCAAAGTAAGCTTTTTGAATGTCCCCCCAAAAAAGGCTTCAGAGCGCGCCAACCTCCACCAAGGATGCTCAGTTTCCCCCATAATGCCATTGCACCTAAAAGCAATATTCCTTTGAAAGTCATAATGAGTTTGAGCGAGTCTGGGGCTTAGCTACACACAAGGTGCAAGGAGGTTAGACAGAAAGTCTGTGCTTTGACGATATTCACATAAAATACTTCATGCAGGGCTGTGTGGATCTGCGGCCTCTGTGCTTTAGAATTTAACCGCTCTGAAACAATCAAAAAAATTCATTCACACACTAGCATGCTCAACCACCGCTCTGTTAGTGGAGTAACTTTAGAACACAGGCAGTGAAATCTGGGCACAGACATAAAAAGAACGGTTCGTACTCCCTGGGCCATACCCTACCTTCCAAACAATTGAAACGGTTCGTACTCTGGGTACAGTATGACTTGGATCCCTCCGTTTCTAACAAGGAACTGTTGAATAAAACATAAACAGAAAACAAGTCTGTGCTGCAGTTCTATCAAGTGTCCAGTCTTAGCCATCATACTGGATGGAATTTTTTTTTGCCCTCCAAGGCTTTGTGCCCATCACGTGACTGAAAACCATCAATTGGCCCTATCTCACAATGATAATAAAACCGTTAAAAAACAGGACATGGAACAATCTAATTGATTGTTCCCTGGGCCATACCCTACCTTCCAAACAATTGAATCAAAATCCATTCATTACTTTTGGAGTTCCCACTCTGAGAGACAGAATTAAAAAAAAAATTTCAGGAAATAACATTCTATGATTTTTAAAGAATTTATTTGTCTTGCGCTGCTGAACATAAGTATTTGAACACCTGAGAAACAGCAAGAATTCTGGCTCTCAAAGACCTGTTACTGTGCCTTGAAAAAGTCCACCTCTACTCCACTCATTAATCTAAATTAGTAGCACCTGTCTGAGCTCTTTAAAGACACCTGTCCACCCCACAGTCAGTCAGACGCCAACTACTACCATGGGCAAGACCAAAGAGCTGTCAAAAGACACCAGAGACAAAATTGTGGACCTCCACAAGGCTGGAAAGGGCTACAGGGCAATTGCCAAGCAGCTTGGTGAAAACAGATCAACTGTTGGAGCAATTGTTAGAAAATGGAAGAGGCTAAAGACGACTGTCAGTCTCCATCGGACTGGGGCGCCATGCAAGATCTCACCTCGTGGGGTATCACGGATGATGAGAAAGGTGAGGAATCAGCCCAGAACTACAAGGGAGGAGCTGGTCAATGACATGAAGAGAGCTGGGACCACAGTTCTGTCGGTAGAACACTACGCTGTCATGGTTTCAAATCATGCATTGCACGGAAGGTTCCCCTGCTCAAGTCATCACATGTCCAGGCCCGTCTGAAGTTTGCCAAAGACCATCTGGATGATCCAGAGGAGGCATGGGAGAAAGTCATGTGGTCAGATGAGACCAAAGTAAAACTTTTTGGTCTAAATGTCACTCGTCATGTTTGGAGGAAAAAGAAGGATGAGTTGCATCCCAAGAACACCATCCCTGCTGTGAAGCATGGGGGTGGTAACATCATGCTTTGGGGGTGCTTTTCTGTGATGGGCACAGGACGTCTGCACTGTATTAAGGAGAGGATGAATGGGGCCATTTATTGTGAGATTTTGAGCAACAACCTCCTTCCCTCAGTCAGAGCATTGAAGATGGGTCATGGCTGGGTCTTCCAACATGACAACGACCCGAA